AAGTGATAACGGCATAAAAGTTAGAGTATGATAATATTCCTGAGCAATGCACATGCACTGCCCAGAGATGTCCTTTTGTAGCAAGGGAATCAGCGTGAGCCAACATGATTAACTTAAAGTAGCTAATTGCCTCCTTGCTCTTAGCCTCCCTTAGCAGCAAGACCCCCAAACCCAACCTCTTTCCCTGAGACTTTTGTCTCCCAGCTACAGAATTCCACTGCTGTGCCTGCACATGAGTAAGAGCAGAGCTGCTGGAATGTTACTGCTGCAGCTCCTGTTTGTGCCAGAGCTCCCAGCCAAAGGACATATTGCTTCTTTCTGTCTCAATTTACTTGGAGTAGGGCTGGTGACCCTGGTTATTAATTGCACATCTCCCAGTCCCTGTTGCTTCCCAGCCAGTTGTTTAATGAGTGGAACACACCTGCTGGTGCCCAGGTGTCTTGGACAAGGCTCTGGAGATTCCAGATGCTTCCCAAGTGTGTTGCTCCAGGGCTGGAGCAGCACAGGACCTGTGCCTGGTGCTTCCTGCCTGTTCCCACTGGGAGGGAAGGACAGCCAGGAGAGGCAGATGTTTCCTTCACCACTAGACCAGGGTGCCCAAATCCTACCTGGAGCCACCCTGGCATTGCTGAGCACCACGGGGCAGTGCCTCATCTAGCACAGCTCAACAGGTCCATCATTAAGACCTGGTTCAGTAACACTCAGGCACAGTTTAAAGCAAAGTTTAATTGTGCTGCTGCAGGTGGAATATGCCCAGGTGTGCAAATGGTGCACAAAGGGCTGTTTCTATCCTCAGCTTTGAAAAACTTTGTGGAGTAAGACTCAGCCCAGACTCGGGGAGCTGAGGATGTGCAGGAGGAATGGCCCAAACCACCCACTGACGTCATGGTCACCAATAAATAAGAGCCAGTGGCTGCTGAGAGGGGCTGCTCTGAGCCCATGTGTGGTTTTATAGATGTTTACTAAAGTTTTGACACAGATACACTCACAGCTGTGGCATGGCAACAAAAACCCATTTCCCTGTAGGCAGCAAGCCACTTTGATCCTGCCCTCTCAGAATTAGGATGTGGTTATGTGGAAACACATGTGCTGCAGAAGCTCTTCTCTGTTCACCTGCCATGTAGATTTAATTTATGGTATCATGACTTTCAATGAATTATGGATACAGTGACTGTGCAGAGGAACACAAACAATAGAGTCATGTGCTGTTTGGCTCCACCTTGCTGGCTTTGTTTCATGAGTGCCTGGTCTTCGCTCTGACAGTTTTATTGTGGGGAAAAAATAGTTTTAGAGATGTTCCAGCCTGGTGACAGCAAGGGACGGGCTGTGGTGGGAGCGTAAATGCTGGCCAGAGCACCCAGTCCCCTGAAGGTTACTGCATAGTCTGGAAGCAGGGCTGCTATTCAATGAGCCAAGGAAACTCAAGAGAATTTTTCTCAATATACAAGAGAAAATTACAGTTTCCAGTTCTTTCAGTTTTGGCATTTTCCCATTGACAACCACAGCTTAGCTATGTCTAATTCCTTGTAAATGAAAAATGTCTTAGGACTCTCTGTGGATCTGAGTCTGCTCCCATTTACACGTGGGTGGTTTAATGAGTTCAGCAGACTCACCCTGGACTGAGGTGAGACTCTGGCCAGGTTTTCATATCCATAGGAAGTAGCTGAAAAATGCCTGCTGTATTTCTGGGCTCTGGATACTTTGCATACCTAGATTTGTCTCTCACAGACTGAGAAGCCCAGACTCAACCATGGCTTTATATATTACAGAGGGCACAAATCTGAGAGTGATTTGGGGGTTAAATTTTTTTTTTTATTAATGTGAGGCTCACAAATGCTGCCTCCCTACTAATGTTGTTTCTGTGTGATATACAGATCCCACGGCTACACACAGCTGAAGAAGTATTTGTTTTGTTTTTACCTTCTTGTTTTTAAAATGTCTTAATAATCCAAACAACAATATGTTGCTTAAACATTATGATGATTTTAATAGCTCAGGTGCTCTGAAAGCAAAATTTTGATTATTTGGGGACTAAGAAATCAGTTGCAGACTGCTCTGTTATCCTCTTTTTTTTGCTTGTCTTCATGAAGGGCCCATTTATGTTTGTGTAAGTTCTTGCCATCCTATTTGCTTGAATGTTGCAGGGCTTCAGAGAAAAAACATTATTTTAGCCATTAGGAGGTTGTTCTGTTCTCATTGAATTTTCTAGAAAATCTCCTGTTGCCTTTAAGGGAACATGGAAGGATTTTTATTATATCTGCGTGATTTCAGAACTGAGGAAACAGACTGTCTTCAGAAGGAAGTAGTGTCAAATCAGCCTACAAATATATCCTTTAAAATGATTTTGGCTGGAATCCTTCCTGATATGATCCCATCTGAGACTCTGAAGTTACACAAAGAATAAATTTTTATCATTTTTATATAATAAAAAAAAATTAGAGAAGGATAAGATATGTCTCGACTTGAGAGTCATGAATAACTCCCTGAGGAGAATGATTTATGTCTTAAAATGCAACATGCATTTTTATGTATTTACTGCAACATGCACAAAGGGAGATATTCTTTTGGAGGAGAGTTAATGAATGAAGCCAATTGGAAAATTGGAGGATTCAATATAGAATTTGGTTACTTATTTGTTCTGTTTTTTACATATGGTTAAAAATCCCACCCACTGGGGAGGTAGTACGTCTCTAGAGGGGTGTCTGGAAATAAAGTTGTAACATGTCCATGCCTTATTTGGGGAATGAAGGATCAAAGGTACCATAAGGTCCTCCGAGTTAATTCTGTCTGAGTCTCAGGCCATTAGTTTCCAGGCAATTACTGCTGCAGGGAGCCCAATGCCTTGCTTTGGCTAAGTTGCATATTTTGGGAGGACATCAAAAACCTTGACATAAACAGATGGAGAATCCAGCACATTTCCTGATGGCTCTTTCATCAGGTCACCAGCACTCCTCTGTTCAAAAATGTGATCCCTCCCTTAAACTGGAACGTTTTGGCTTTAGCATCTCGGCACAAGTTCATGTTGTGCCTCTTTTTGCCAGACAGAGGAATAACTCAATGCCTGCTAATTTCTTTCTGTGGAGGCTCTTAGATTCAAGGATTCACATCACTTTCCTCCCTGCTTTTTAATGAAGTGAATTCTCAGGTGCTGTAATTCCTCCTCTGTAAGGGCCCTTCTCCACTCCTTGACAGGCTTTGGTTTTCCTTTCATTTTTTGTCTTACTTCCAATTTTGTTGTCAATTTTGTTGATGTCTGCTGTACTCTAGCAGTCTGTTTTCAAGGGCTGAGGTAAAATTTCCTACATCTCCACTTACTGAAGAGCAACTAAACAAGTCCTTTTTTTCCCTTCTTTTTGTTCAATGACTTGTCTTATCACAGCTATTGCATCTGTGCTGTCTTCTCAGATATGTACTGCACATTTGAGTTCATGTCAGTAGGACCCAAGATTCTTTGTTGACACTATTTACTACTCATCAGTAACTGTTTTGTTGGAAAATTTTACCCCTTTTAACAGATGAAAATGGGAAATCAGACCTTGGACCTCTGCAAGACTCCCTAATTCTCTGTTCTCATGCAACAGAGATTCCCCATGGAGCAGTATATTTTAAGAATAGATGCTGAGTTTAATCTAGGTAACTTTTCTCTCTAGTGCTGTTTTTGGCTTATTTGAGGGTTTTTGTTTATTTACAATATGTTTTTCAACTCTGTTAAGTCACATGCCTTGGCAATGTGTACCAATAAAACAAACGCATGTAAATATCTTTAGCAATCAGACTTTCGGTCTCATGACAGTTTTTGGGCAGTCAAACAAATGCCTTGGCATGCTAAAATCAGGGACACTGGGAGAATTAATCACTTAATACGCTAGATTAAATCAGACATGGCTCTTTTGAGACAAAAATCTTCCCCCTCCTCTCCAGAGCCGGTGCTGCGTTGGAGCACTCACGGGAGGGCACCGAGCCGGTCTGTATAAACTATCATTTCACAGGCCACAAAAGCCGGTCTGCAGGGCAGCTGTGCGAGCAGAGACGAGGCTTTCCAGCGGTGCTGCTGGAGCGCACCTGGCCGGGCCCGAGGCCAGGCAGCTCCGAAATACCCGTGCGGAATCAACAAACAGCACCGAGCCGGGTGACGTAAAGAGGAAGCCAACTCCATTCCCGGCCTGCAAGTCGCAGGGAGTTTTGCAGGCGCCGGGGGGAGGATGGAGCCGTCCGCGGGGATGGAGCCCCGTCGGGGTTTCAGCACCGCGGACAGCGCCCGGCGGAGCCGCGGCCGCGCCGGAGCG